ACATATAATCTAATATTACCTCACACTTCACGGGTTCATGGCTCATAAAGTTGAAATAACAAAAGATTTATTAGATTACTGCAAACAAGCAAGAAAGAAGTATTTTGATGATCAACGTTCAAAAGCCCTGTCTATCGAAAAAAATTATAGAAGATGTTGAAATTGTTAATACTAAAATTTGACAGACATTATCTATGATTGAAATAAAAAAGATAAGATTCCGTTTTTAATGTAATTGTATATATATATATATATATATATATATATATATATATATATATATATATATATATATATATATATATATATATGTGTGTGTGTGTGTGTGTGTGTATATATATATATATATTCATTTATAATAGTTTATTTATATTTAAAATTTATTAAAAAAAATTATCGTTCGCAACAATTTTTTGAAGGAAAAAGTAAGGAGAAAACAACCTCCTTAAAAATTAGAAAAAAATTTCTCCTTAAATCTCTTTAAAATTTTTAATTTTAGCCCCAGTTTTAGTAGTGGGAACCCTGGTTATAGTAAATCTGACTATTCCCATCATTTTCTGTTGTCTACCAGCATAACTTTTTTTTTCAGATTACTAAATCTAGAGCAATGTCAATTGTACATCTTTTTAAACATATGTAAACAAACACACAACAGTTTTCACCTAAATTTTAACTTCATATTTGCAAAAGAACTATTTAACAGTCAGAAACTTAATCTAATTTGTAAAAGTTTTCATAGCAACAATGCCTGCTTTCAAGATATAAATCTTACCTGTTGGCTAATTACATATTGATCAGGCGGAAGTTCCCTTCTCAACTGCATGTGAACCTGTTCAGGGCTCATTTTATTACCTGATTCTTCTCCATGCGTATAGTATATATACAACAGTGCTTTCTGTTGATTTAAAAATCTAAAAGAACTTCAAACTGGTAATCCCTAACCTTGCAATGCAAAAATGTTTATACAATGTTTGTCTTTTACAGAAGCATTTTTAGAGAATGAAGAAATTGGCATATTTAGTTGTGAAGTAATTTTCATCTTATGAACAAACGAGCTGCCAACTTTATTCAATGGTGTTAATGATTTCAGAACTGTATAAAGACTGGATAGCATGTGTTCTTCTAAATCAGCATCGCTTTTAAATGATAAAGTACAATTCATTTCAGTGCAAAATCTTAGTGACTTGTTTAACTTAATTGACATAACTGTTTTGCTATATGGCAACAACAACTTAATCGAGGATTGAATTTTAAGATTTCTATACCATTGTTCCATCCCCTCTCTGATATCAAAATAACATCTTCATACTGATGTCAAAATAACATCTTCACCAATATCGAAATAACATCTTCAATTATAGTTGCTAATGTTCTTAATCTTTGGTCCAGTAACTACAGTTTTATCATTGCTAGTTTGAGCAACTGCTACTTTTGCATCTTTAGCGCCTAAACTATAATGTATAGCCTTGTGTACATCTTCAGCAGTCAAAATATTATTACTAGAATCAATGTAACTCCTTAAGATTCTCTCTTGCAACTGCACTATCCCTGTCACATTGATCTTTTCCACAACAGGGTTCGTTATAATCATATCTCAGCAATTTATATCTCTTTCTGAAGATTGCCTTTTGAAAGATTTCCCTGATAGCAGCCGGCATTATCAGGTTTGGTAAACATCTTCTTGATATGCGGTTGAACAATTCTGAATTTTTCTGTTGAGAACATCTTATCAGATATGTATGTAGTTGAATACATCCTTTACAGCAATTTCAAAATCATAAATAGAATCAGCACCATCAGAATTTTGAATTGCTAGTTTTTTGATCATCTCAATAATTTTGCACTAATCATAACAATCAGCACATACCAATTCTGATATCTCTGTGTTGGATTAAAGATTTTTATCAGATGGATCTGATAAAGCATGTTTTGAGCTATGAGAAGAAATAATTGAATCATTGACACTACAATTGGTTTCACAACATGTTTTCAGATACCTTTTTCCTTTCTCAAGGGCACTTTTGAGAGATTTATAATCTTCATGTAAATTTTTGTAATGTTTGAAAACCATTCTTACCTGATCCAGTGATATCATCTAATCCGGCTAAGCTTTTTAGACTTGACGGTTTTATTGCATGCAATACTTTCTTTAAACTTGAATCAGATAATGGTACATAATTGTTTTAACTGCACCTTTTTTGATAGTACATGATTGCATAGCTAAATTTTGTCGTCAGTATTGCACTCGCTATCTTTTGCTCTTCACCCTTGTCGTGTTTCAAGTTGGTTATTCCATAAGCAACATCATGCAAAATACCGCTTGTAAATATAAAATCTAAGAAATGTTCACAGTTTGTTCACAGGATGTGAACAAACTGTGAACATTTCTTAATATAAAATGAGAAATGCTCACAGGATGAACACTTTTTTCTCTGGAAATGCCAACCCTTTTTGAGATGCATGCCATTTTCTTATAATAATAAGAAATGAAGAAAAGGGTGGGCCTTCAAGAATAATTTTACTGCTGCAGTTAGAAAAAAATAATTTAATAACCTCAGAATCTATAAAGAAACTAATAACAGAATGAAGACTAATTGTAGGATAGTTAGAGATGGTAAAGTGTTCTCTAGAGTGTTGAAAAATTGAAGAGTGTAGAAATGTTTAAATGAGAATTAATTTTAGTATTGGAAGCCAGAGTGATTTTGATGTTTAACAATAAGTTAATTTGTTTAACTTTCAGGGAGAGTATGGCCATTATATTCAGAAGTCAAATTAGTGATTTAGATGATAACAAGATTTAGTAAATTGAGAACAGAGCTTAACATTAGATAGAACTTTTTTACATTAGTTTATTGCAATAATAAAAGGACATTTGTTCTTAAGAGAGATGTTCTTGTAAAAAAAAATGAAAAAAAAATGGTTGTTGAAAAATGTGGAGTAGAATGAGGCTTGACTTAAAATTGAGGAGAATTAATAAAAGTTTCCAAACTTTTATTCCAGAAGGAATAAAAGCTTCCAAGATGTACTTTTTGCATACATAATATGGATATAAACTTATCTGTTTACTATTTATTTAAATGCTGGCATACAATATCCTTTTATTATTATACAAACTTTAGTATTTATATGGTGTAGTATTTGCTGAAAGTAAAGATGATCAGACGAATGTGTGGTTTGACTCTAGCAAGACAAGAAAAGGAGGCATAATCTTAGACATTTTAGAAAAAATGTTGTATTGAACAACGTTTGTAAGAAAATAATAAAGTAATTTAGGCATCAGCATGTAGAGAGGTAGCAGCTTCAGTAAAAAATGGTAGTCATAGAAGTAAGAAAATTTGAAGAGAGTGTCTTACATATTGTATGAATGAGCTTTAGTTAGGAAAAAAAAATGCTCTAGATTTTTTACATTGGAGAAACAACATAAAAGTTGATGTTTTTGATCATCATCATCATCATCATTGTCATAATGATTATGATGATGATGATGATGATGATGATAACAACAATTTGGATTTTGATGGTATCCTGCTGTTATCTTATAATATTTATTGTTTCTCTATTTATTATTCTTATTGTTGTTCAATATGGCAGCTTATATAGCCTAAATCTAGGTAATTTCCATAAACTTTTAAAAGTCTCCAGAAAATTCACAAATATATATATATATATATATATATATATATATATATATATATATATATATATATATATATATATATATATATATATATATATATATATACTCATATAGTGTCGCTTTAAGAGCATTTTAATGTAAAAAAAGTCTCTTACGACTACAATTTTAATTACCTCGTCTCTTAAGCTGTTTTTGATTGTCATCGAAATGTCAAAGCAATTAATTTATGCGGAAGTACATTAAATTTAATTGTTTTTTAAAAAATTTTTAAAAAACCGCAATTATAACGACTAGAAAGTTTTTTTTAATTAGTGGTGTTTTTGTTATTGATTTAATAAAAAACATTTTTTAAACATGCGTAAATGTTGCTACATCGACTATCTTATAGCCTGACTCGCAACGGAGTGCTGCTACATCGACTGACAAATATCCTGACTCGCAACGGAGTGCTGCTACATCGACTGACAAATAGCCTGACTCGCAACGGAGTGCTGCTACATCGACTGACAAATAGCCTGACTCGCAAGGGAATGCTGCTACATCGACTGACAAATAGCCTGACTCGCAAGGGAGTGCTGCTACAACGACTGACAAATAGCCTGACTCGCAAGAGAGTGCTGCTACATCGACTGAGGGTTTGGTTTGGCCAGGCAGTCTATCAATTAAAAAAAAAAAATTAATTTTTAAAACTTTTTCTGGTCTGGTTTATTAACGCGCTCTTTAAAACTACAGTTTATGGGAAATATTTTTTGATGCTACGCAAGAGACATGCAAGACTATATATATATATATATATATATATTTGTGGCTTGCTAAAAGAAGAGCCTGTGTCATATTTTTTTAAAATTGACCATTTTTCATTAAAAAAATTTTAAATTAAGATAACCCTATGATAATCAGAATAGCAAAAACTATTAGTTCTGGGTCAAGAAATATGTCACTTTTTTTAACTCTAAGTATAAGTGCAAGAGTTACATAAGTAAACATAGGTAGTTCTGATATTTACAAAAATTACTTCAAGAATGAAAAAATAACACAAGTAGTTTTTATTCTATTTATACAAGAAATTTTAAAAATAAAAGCATTAATCATTTATTTTTATTTATAATATTGAAAAATCTCTTTTACTGAATCTCATTTACTCTTATATATATATATATATATATATATATATATATATATATATATATATATATATATATATATATATATATATATATATATATATATATATATATATATATGTATATATATATATATATATATTTTACAATACACACACACATACACAAACACACACACACACACACACATATATATATATATATATATACATATAATGCCTACATTTTTCATTATTTAGACTATATCGTGAAATGGGAAGTCATAAGTCTTTGATTTGCAAAGTAAGTGTTTTCTTTAAATTAACTACATGTGGAACTAAGATTTAAAAGTTAACATAATGCAATTTGTGTGTTATGATGTGTTCATAACATTCATTCTCTATTAATTTAAATATTCAATTAAAAAGAGTACACTCTACAACCATTTTAAGTATTTATATCAATACAAAAACCTCACATGGAGACACCATATAAAAATTTAGCAACAAAATTAAAAAAAGTATTCAAATCAATTTATTTAAACATCCGTACTTTTACTTAGTTGTATTTTTCAAATAATTATTGTCATGCAAATATTATATTATGCACAAAAAAATACAAAATTAGGCTTTTTTATTGTTAATAGCTGCATATAGCATGTTTAGTTAATTCATGTGATCAACTAACTCGTGCAAAGCTTTTCTTCAGAAAAATATATGCGTTAAACATATATCAACTTAATATCTATAGTGTCTCAAAAAATTATCCGACCAAACATTTTTTTAAATATTTTTCCTAAAAAAAAGTGCTGTATTTTTGTAAATTTTGACTTTTTTGGTTAACTCAAGGTTAATAAAAATAAAAGAACATGTTTTTAAATAGATTTTATTTATTTTAGTGTAAAATATGAATCACAAAATTTTCAGTTTTAAAATAAAGGAACTTAGGTCGTTTTTTTATTGTCAAAAATATATTCGACCAAACATATTTTTTGTTCCATGATAAATTATTAAATAACAAAACAATTATTTTAATACTTTGTAGGGCCTCCCTTTTCTCCGATTACAGCTTCTAGATTACAGCTTCTAGCATTGATTCGACTAAAGATTTTGTTTCTTCTGGTTGAATTTTTTCCCAGGCTTCTTTAATTGTCACTTTGAGGTTATCTTTTTTGGAAAATGACCGATCTCCAATTTTTTGGTCTAAAACTTCTCACAAATGTTCAATGGGATTAAGGTCCTGTCATTGTGCGGGCCATTTCAAGACCTAACATTATTTTCAGCAAACCACTCCTTGGTTTTAGAGGCACTATGCTTGGGATCTTTATCTTGCTGAAATGTAAAATCAGATCGAATCAGCCAAAGTTTTTGAGCAGATGACTTCAAATTTTGCTTTAAAATGTTTCTGTATTGCACCTGATCCCTTATTGTATCAATAAATTGGAGTTTTCTGACACCCTTCCATACCATTGAACCCCATACCATCTCGTTACTGCCACCATACTTGACAGTTCTTCTCACGCAGGTTAATTTGTAGGCTTCTCCGGCTTTTCTCCAAACTTTTTGGGCTCCATCAGATGACTTTAAGTTGAATTTTGATTCGTCGCTCCACAGGATCTTTTTCCAGAAACTTAATGGCATGTTTTTGAACTTCTTAGCAAACTTGAATCTCTTTTTCATGTGTTTCTTACTCAAATATGGCTTATTACGCACTAGTTGTCCTTGAAATTCCTGGTCTCGGATACAATTTCTGATTGTCTAATGGGATAATTTGATTCCATAATTCTCTTCAGCTTGCTCAGCCAGTTTTCGAGCAGAAATGAAGCGATTTTTCTTGACTTGTATAATTAAGTTTCTATCAAAACTCTTAGAAGTCTTTTTTTTTGCAACCCTGTCCTTCTTTAGCGGCTGTTGTTCCTATCAAATTATACTTCTTCATTATGTCCTTCTTTAATGGCTGTTGTTCCAATCAAATTATTTTTGAGTTAAAAAAACATGAAACCTTTTTTTAATACAAAACTTTTTTTTTTACTCAAAAAAACAGTTTTTTGTTATGCAATTTCATTAATTGTATAAAAATTTCAAATAAAGTTAATTAAACTTACCTAAATACCGCTTGGTCGAATAATTTTTTTACAAGCCTATTCAATACTAAGTTTCTTTTAGGACAAATAATAAACCAACTGAAGCATGAATCAAAAAGTATGAACGCTAAATAACATACTATTCCCAATAGAATTAAAATGACAGACAAAGTAAGTACCACAATTCATTGTTTTTAGTATAATTTAGAGCGTAAACATTTTTTTTTGTAAAAAACTTGTTTAGTTGGATAATTTTTTGAGACACTGTATAATATTTTTTGTTTTATGTACAAATTTAAAACGAAATGTTTGTTTTTTTTTTCATAACCTATATTTAACAGTTTTAATATATATAACATTTTATGGAATTATGATTTTCTGATGCAACCATTTTCAAAAACTCATCTTTTTGTGAACCTTATCTTTAAAACAAAATTGTCTTAAATAATTTTCATTTTTCATGAGAATTAAAGTTGTGTTAAAATTCATCATAGTTATAAATTTATTTTATGCAAGATTTAAAATAAAATTTTAGGTTATACCCTATTTTTAGACTCTCTTATCTAGCTCAAAATAGTAAATTCTAAAAACTCAGTTTGCGAAATTTACCATTTTGACTATATTAGCTAATTATTTACTTTGTTTTATTTTATTATTTTTAAAAGTTTTTAATATATTTCCTGAGTCTATTAATTTTTTTTTTTAAATATAAACTTCACCAACCTTAATAAAATTCAAAATATTTAATATGCGGTTTTTGTAATTAAAAGTTTCTTTTATAAAAAAAAACTTGATTAAATTAAGAAAAATTTATATGTATTAAAAAATATTGTAATTGTAGTATTCTCCATATCTTATTATCAATTATGTCAAAACGACTCAGGTAGCTACGATTAACCAAAAAATGAAGGTATAGAATCTTTAATTTTTAAAATGCTTTATATCATTACTATATTAAAACATAAATATTTTGATATTTTTAATTAATTTTGGTAACTGGCTTGTGGGTCATTCCATATGAAATTATTACATCTTTACATTGTTACATTGTTATGTCTTTACGTCGTTAGAGTCGATTAAATAAATAATAACTGCACACTTTACCTTAAAATGTACATGGATTGTTGAGATATCGTCAATTAAACTGCTGATTCAGCATTTTTGTGGTTATCTGAAGAAACAACACAGCAACTTTGACATGTAGTTTCTTGATAATGATTCAGAGGATTTTCCTAAAATTTGGAACCCAAATAAGTTTTTTCTATTTTGCTTTTCAAATTTATTGACTTATAAATGATTGATTTTTGAAGCTAAAATGGAGGCTGTCACCCGAAGTAGCTGGCAAAAATGCTGATAGTATATCAATAATTTAATCTAGTTCTACTGAAAATCGCACGCCGCTGCAACTATATTTTAACAGGCCATTACTGGCACAAGTCTGGCAAGCGACTCAAGCAACTTTTTCATGTATGTTAAATCATAGCAAAGAGTCGCAGCGGCGTGCTAAAATGGAGGATGTCACCCAAAGTAGCTAGCAAAAATGATAGTTGTATATCATTAATTTATCTTTGGTCTACTGAAAAAATTTGATTTGTGTATTGTCTCTAATATTTGAAGTAAGCACTCAAAAATCACGTGTATAATAGTCTTTTCAGAATTTTTAAAAACCTAAATTTTGTAAGTAAGGAGATTTTTTAATTGAAACTTCAATATAGTGTTATTTTATAACTAGTATAGGGTGTATCCATAGTCATGGACATATGAAGGGGGAAAAGAGGAGAGATAACATGCCACCCCACCCCCCTTCCACCCACCTACCCTATTTTTTTATTACATAAAAGTAAATGAATAGTGATAAACTATTTCTATAAAATAAAGTTTAAAAAAAACTGGATTTTCTAGAAAACAAGGTTTTATTCAACTCAAAAATCTTTCTTGTGAACAGCATAAAGAAATGTGGTGAGCAAATTTAAAAGAAAAATTTAGTTCAATTAAAATTGAATGCTATTAGCATGAGCAATTCTATGAAAAATATTTTGAGAAAAAAATTATAAAGATAACATTTTTTAAAGTTGATATGTTAATTAGGGGTGTTCAAAAATCAAGTCATGAAAAAATTTTCACTAACAAACTGTTAGTGAAACTAACTGCAGACTATAATAAAGAAATGAAAAACTGTTTTTTTTTTGTTGTTTTTTTATTATTTTTTCACCTCGCGCTGGCCTCATAAAATTTTCAAAAAAAACTTTTTTTATATAAATTGCATATATAATATACCGGGGAAAAAATAAAAAAAACTGGAGACTATTTTAACAGATGAATGTTTATGTTATTTAAAAGACATACCAGAAATTATCATTGTAGGTTCATCTTCATGCTTTGGGCCAAACCTGTAACGATTGTTGACACCATATAACGGTTGCATACGATCAATCAATAAAATTCAGGTTTTTCTGGCGGTGGGTCTTCTGATTAAGATAGAGCTCTGATTTTTTTTTATGTATGCTTAAATAATTTATAGAAACAAAATTATCAGCAGTGTATTTTGATTAACCACCTGAAAAAAAAGGAGGGAGAGGTGGTAAGCTGACCTCAGTCAATATTCAAAAAAGAAAAGGGGGAGGACCTTTCTCACCCCTTTTTAGTTATTTTATTTTCTTTATATTTTCTCAGTATTTGAAATTATGAGAAAATATATCCAATAAGGATTGAAAGGGATTTAGCAGTATTAGCAAGAAAACAGAAATGTGTTAAACAAGAAAAAATTATGTTTGCATCATTATTAATGATGCAATCATGTTTTTTCTGAATGAAATCTTGAAGTCATAAAAAAATTAAAAATAGGTAAGATTTATTTAGTAGTAATAACATTTTTGTAGAGAGTTGTAAGTTTTTTATTGTAAAATTTTAATATAAAATCAAAATTTTTTTCTGTGATTTAGCTACTTTGTAATTTTCTTTGTTGTTATAGTATTTTTAAAAACTTTTATGAATCAAATGGCAATTATGTAAGATACTCAATGTAAACAAGAAAGAAAGAATTAGAGCCTGTTGACAGTGGTAGTGGTTATTCCAACTCTCACAAGCCCAAAAAAAGTTGATCATAACAACAAAGAAATTGTACTTTTATTTAACTAAAATAACTTGCTTTACTTTTTATAGAACTATTTTGGTCAATGGACAAGCACTGGCCACATGACACTCATTAAAGCTATCAAGATGGATAAGGTTTTATTCAAGGAAGACAAAGCAAATGATAATGCCTTTATCAGATAACAGATCACAAGATGTGTAAAGGTCTTGGCAAAGCTAGACCTGGCTATTCAAAGCAAAAAGAAAAGAGAGATCTGGAAAAGAGAGATTTGGAAAGAGTGACTAATAGAATACCTTCTATTGTAGATGCTCAGGAATCAGTACTTAATACTTCAAATTCATCTAACACAAATGGCAGTGAATATCAGCCTAGTCCTCCAAAAAAAACACATCATATTCTCAAAATACGCATATTGACATTAGCTAAGACACCATACATAACACAATGAGAACAATTCTGGGTGTCAACATATCTGCCAATATATTCACTGCTATTTTAACAAAGTTGGTTATTGAAGGGGGAGATAATCCAGATAAGCTGCCTCTTTTATATTCAACTGTATATAAAATTGAAAATAAAATACTTGATGAAGATTTTGAAAGTTTAAAAAAATTACTGCAGTATCACATCAACCACAAGGATTGGCAAGCTTAGTTACATTTTGATGGCAAAATATTAAAGGATTTAATACCTGAGCACTGTGACAAAGCAAAGGACATCTGTGTACTTACAAAAGTTTTGATTACAAAAGTTGTCTGCTAGGTGCACCAGGCATTGACTCTGGCACTGGTCTAAACAAGTTTAATGCAATCAGTGACCTTTTGAAGGAGATGGACATAGCAGACAATGTCCACTCTATATGATTTAATACTACCAGCAGCTATACTGGCAAACTGTGTGGATACTATACTGGCAAACTGCGTGGAACTATATACAGGTGAATAAAAATAAGAAAATATTTTTAAAATCTTCAAGTACTATAGCAATTATGTAAGGCTACAGAAATATTGATTTAACATGATTTAATTGCGGTAAGTTTAAAATGAAAGAACACTATGTACTTTTAAGACTAAGGTCTGACCTTAGCAAGCCCTAGCTGATGTTGATCTGACGTCACCACATAGAAGAGGTTCACATCAATCATTTCGAAAAGGCTATTGGTTGCAAGGCCACTGTTGGTCCTGAAGATCCGCTTTTTAAATTGCTTCATAAATAATGGTATTCCATTGAGACTGAAAGTTGCTGCTGAATTGGTTTGAATGAAAATCTGTTTGTGAAACTTGGCTAGAAGCTCAAGCCATTCAAACAAAGAACCAACTTGTTATCTTCTTTTAACTGGTTCTTAGTTTCAATGGCTTGAGCTTCTAGCCAAGTTATGGAGATAATAAAAACCAAAGAGGTTAGTTCAAAATTATTGCAAGCAGACATTTACAAAAACTCCAGACAATCATTCCCAGCAGTATTTTTCTCATCGCGCTACAGTATCCAGATTCAGGAAACATTCAATAAAACATAATAAAATTGACTGGTAAGAAAAGAAATGACTACCATGAGCTAGCAGAGTTATGTCTTATGTACATGGACCCAAGCTATATCTGCAAATTTAAGAAATCTGGTGCTATGCACCATGCCAGAATTATGGCCAAAGGTGTTTATTACCTAACAATTTTCCTTCTTAAAGATTCTGTCCAAAAGCATATAGATCTGGATTCAGCTCTCATCACCAGGATGGGCAAGTTTATTGCTCTCTTCTGTGCATTTAAGTTTCTGACTAATAAGAAACCAGGCATTGCCTCGCTACAGGTATTCAAACAAAACATAAATATTAAGTTTAAATATAAAATTACTATTACTAAATTTCATGCATTAAAACTATATAATTATAAAATTACAAAAATATATCATTTTTTTCTTTATCAGGACTTGAATTCTATTTGAAATATAATTACAAGTATGTCGAGGATGAACGTGCTGCAAGTGCGGTGTTTAAATCATGGAAAAACCAATGCTAGTACCTGGATCCAACTGGTGTTCCCATTGTGCTGGCAAGTTCAGATGTTTCAATCACTGAACAAGAAAAGAAAATGATCACCAAAATGCTCTATAACATACCCATACCAAATGACTATGACATGGACCGACATAATAATAAAGGTTTTTTTTACTTGAAACAAAAGACATACCTGTACTTGACAAGTGGCCAGAACTGGTTGACTTTATCACTACAAAAAAATAATAAAAAAAAAAATAACAAAAAGCAGTTTTTCATTTCTTTATTATAGTCCGCAAAAAATTAACTATTTGTTAGTGAAAACACCCCTAATGTTAATTAAAAGGAACAGATTTTTGTTTTGTATTTTTTTTTTCACTTCCAACAAGACTGCAAGCTACCAATATTAGAGTTGGAAGTTACTGGAATTTGAAATTTTAACTGAAATTTTTTTGGATTCTAAATTTTAGGAAAATTCTCTAACCATTTCCTCAACAACCCATGTATTGAAAATTCAACTGTAGTTTTTGTAGTTATCATTTATTTAATATGGACTGCTAATGATATATAAAAAAAGGTAAATCTGAGGCGTATGGCCCATACGGTATGGGTGACATTTTTTTTTGTGGATGATTACTTTTGAAATGACCCTTTTTTGTAATTTTATTTTTTTTATTTGTAACAATATATGTAACATATCCTTATAAACTTGTCAATTTATTCATAAGTTTTTAAAAATGTTAAGTTAGACTTTTTCGATATTTTAGACTTGCTTGGATAATGGAATATTTTGTATATTTGATACATGCACAGAATATGAGTTCTCCTTACTTAATGTTTTGCTTGAGAAATCTGAAAAAGAGAACTATATTGTTTTGAGGAGAAATTTTGAAAAGCATCATAAATATCAAGGGAAAGCTGTACGGTTACTTTTAAACTTGTTTTATTCAGTTTTATTCAGTTTGTATGTTTTTAATTAAGCTTAGTTAAAGTAAAACTTTTAAGTTTAATTACAGTTATTAAGTATTCAACTATTTTTTGGTTTAAATTTTAGTAAATGCTGAATCAAGCGGGTTGTTGAATAAAAATCAAATGTAACATTATTTCAAGTTGGCGATAAATTGCAAATATTATGAAAAACATTTATTTCGAGTAAATAATGTCAAAGATTTTGCATTTCCACTTATTTTAACGTAATTGATGCAATTGGAACAACTGCTTCAAAACTTACAAACATATTTTTTTCCAAAATGCATTAGAATAGTATGGCTTTAATTGAATCGGTTAATCCCAAAGCGGTTCAGTCAAAAAAAAATTACGATTTCTTGAGAATAAGTAGTATTTCTGAAATTCTGAAATGTAAGTTTAGAATTCCATGATAAAAAGGGTTCAATCCGACGCTCAAATTGAAAGAAACTCGATGTTAGAGGAATATAAATTATAGTAAAAAGAGACTAGTCGTTGACTGTACTCATATTCATTATATCGTTAATTTTAACATTTGAAGTTTTCTTGTAATAAGTACAACAAAGAATTATGTGTTTTTATCGGAGCTAAATCAAGTTTTAATTTTTACGAATTTTTTTACATAACTTTATATTGAATAACAATCAATTTCATAAAAATTGGCATTTAAAAGCCTCTTTGCATATTTACAATTATTATTAATAAAAAGTTATTAAAATCATAAACGTCACCAAATGTTCTAGTCTACTCTACAATAGAATCATATTATTATTTAAGGTAGAGCGGGGCATATAAGGACACTTAAGTAACAAAAGCTGGTTGCGGATAAACTAATCATTGTTAACTCTGTTTTATTATAGATTTCCAAAAATTCATTAATATAAGAAATTAAAAAACTCTAAACTACCAAAACTTTTACATTTTGCAAATGAGTGGGGAAAACGGGACAGTTAAAAAGCAGCAGTTATCCTTTCATATAAAGCTAAAAAATGATAAAAAATAAAGGCTAAATATGTTGAGACATTAAACTCTCTAAAAAGTAACCTACCCATAGCAATTACATGCACTTACACCCATACACCACAAAAAAATAATAACAAGTCAAATAATTTTTTTTTATTATTATTATTATAAACTTAACCTATATATTATTAAATTGGTTACTACTACTACTACTTAATTTGAAATTAAACAAAACAATTGTTTGGATCACATAAATCACACAAAAAAATATCCTGAAACTATTTGGCAACATTTTTGAGAGGTGGTAGAGTAAACTTAAATATGCCATATGTATCAGCAGCTTTTTTAGTTTTAATTTCCTTTTCACTTGCAGCTAAAACTGGATTTCATCCAATTTTGGATAATTGATCTTTCTTAAATCATTTCTTACCTTTTTTAAACTGTAGTAATATATGTAGTAATATATTCAATTATATAAATAGCTTGTTGTCCCGATATGCCCCACAAAAGTCATTTTACTGAAACTAATACTATTCAAAAAGTTCATTTGCAAATATTTTTTTAAAACTAGACTCTAAAAGAGGTTAAAAAATACTGTCTGAAAGATATTATAATTAATTTCATAAACAAAGTAAATTCGTAGTAGTTCAAGATAAATTTTTTGTCATAGTATCGCTAAAGAAAATACGCAAACTTTGTTTTTCGCAAAATCACTGATGCATTTTGGTACTTTTAATGCATTTTGGTATTTGTAAAATTAATTTTTTTTTACATTTATTTAAAAATGTTTTATCAAAAGAAAATTTTGAAAAAATAATTTTTAGCTGAGATACAAGACTTCAGGCATAACTGTCCCGCTATGCGCCACTGTCATGGTATGTCCCCGCTCTACTCTAGTGAGTAAGTGGTTGGTTGTATCATGGAAGTATAAAACAGATGGAAATTCAACCGCTTTGAAATTCTTCGGGACTACGCTTGTAACCTTTTGTTTCGTAAACAATAAGAAAACGACATCAAGACTGCACTTAACCGCTTAATTTTTATACTTTGACGCAATTAGATACGTTTATAATAATTTAAAAATATAGTATTTTGAAGGTTCGCCAATAATATTTAAGAAAAACATTAAAAATGGCGCAACGTACCGGCAAACAACAACTTTTTTATAAACTTCATATTAAATGAATCGAGTACTACAAAAATGAATGGAATTATGATATACAGCTAATGAAACTTTAAACTTAAGTTATTTAGAAAACAATTTTTTTGATTTTTTAAAATTTTTTTTAGTTGTCATGATTTGAAGCAAGAAAAGAAAATTAAACATAAACTTTTTTAACTAACATAAATTTTTTAAACTAACATAAACTTTTAAAACAAACATAAACTTTTAAAAACACGAGGTTCTATTTAATTACCGAGTTTTAATAAACCTTTTGTCGAATAATTGCAATTACTAATGGTTAAAACTTTGCCGCATATCCCTAGAATAATTCATTTTTTGATGTTTTAATAATGTTTTAAATATTTTTAGTAAATTTTTTTTTTTTTTGTCCAATAAAATTTGTTTTGTTTTTTTTTATTGTCGGTTACAAGCATACTCCCGAGACGATTTGAAGTTGCTTTGATGTTTGCAGCTCGATGAACGTCCATCTGATTTATACTTCCATGGTTGTATTAATTTTTTTTAGTCAAGGTTTATCACGAAACAAGTAGTGGAAAATTGATAAATTAAAAAGCGTTTCGTATTAAGATTGCTCGAAGTATCTGTAGGGAATAAAATTCCAATGGTACTTTGGTATACGGGAGCCGGTGTAGCGAAGCAGATTAGTTCCTCAAAAAATTCACTTCTGGTTAAAATATTTTAACTTCACGACTAATCTATTTCGAAATAAATTACACCCTGGAGTTCAAATATTTTAGAATATATTGAAAAGAATTACCTGGGGGCTGAAATAAATCAAATCTTTACCGAAATAAATTAGCCCCTTCAAATAAGCATTTTATATAGTTTAGCTTATTATAAAGTCCTACAAAAATGTGTGAATATTTTGTAATTTTTTTTTAATATATAACTTTAACGTTATTATTTTACAAATTATAAACTTAAAGAATATTGTAAAAAAGAAAAGGTGAAAATATTTTATCCACGTAAATCTTTCTCTTTTCTTTTTAAAATAAAAAATATGTCTACAATCTTGGCAGTATTAATAATTAATTAGAAGTGTCTGATTAGAAAAATAAAATTTCTGAGTATAGGTAGTTAGCTCCAGCCGTATATTCAAAAGTTTGGATTACAGGAATGTGGAGTTTATATATTTTATATAATAATAAATACATTAATATAACAGTAACAACCAGAGCCGTGGCTTCCTTGCACACCCCAAATCGAGAGGCTTAGAAATTTAGGGGTTCTTTTGCAAATGCAAGTATGTTTTTTCCTTTTTTTTTAGTAACAGATAATGAAAAAAATTTTTAATTTTAAGGCCCTAACAACAGGTTTCATGGAGGGGCACGGGCCTAACAGCCACAACACTTATAATAAAATTCTACAAAAATGTGTGAGTATTTTGCAATATAACACTGATAACAACTGATGTAAACAGCTGTGAAATGATTATTTATTTGTTTGTTTTCTTTTAATAGTTAGATTTTGTAAAGTTAGAATTTTTTAGTTTGTTATTGAAGTTATTTCCATCAAATCTGTAATTATAGTTGTTATTTATAAATTTACAACCTGATTTTAGAGAAAATGTGGTTTGATATACCCCTTCTATATTAAACCACATCAAGATTTTTGCGCGCAAGCCTGGTCATCCCTTTCCAAACCAGAAATTGCTCTTAGGGATTGTCCGTAAATTACGCAACGCAAAACTTATCAAAAAAATATAAGTTGGAGATTGATTATCTTGCTTTTTTGCTCGGTGGTTTTCGCTGGACTTGAAAGGTTGTTTATCAGCTTGGTTTAGTTATAGACTCTGCGAGGGAAAACTTTCAATACTTTGTCTTTTGTCTATAAAAACTTATCAAAAAAATATAAGTTGGAGATTATCTTGCTTTTTTGCTCGGTGGTTTTCGCTGGACTTGAAAGGTTGTTTATCAACTTGGTTTAGTTATAGACTCTGCGAGGGAAAACTTTCAATACTTTGTCTTTTGTCTATAAGTTTTAACTTCGCGTTACGTAACTTATGGACAATCCTTGATCTAAAAACCCGCAATATCTTTCAAATTGTTCAGCAACTGCATTTTTTTAAAATTTTTTTATTTATTTAGGGGCCCCAAGAAGACCTAGCAGTCTTGTCATAGAGCGCCGCGGAAGTGCATTTAACAAGGAAGTTCACACCTCCTTCCTTAGCGTGACGCGAAAATAATTTTATTTTATTTTTTTACGCTTTCACATCTAACTCAATATATAATTTAAAAAAATGACTTGTTTTTTAAAAACCGTGTTGCAATCCCTTAAAGGTTTGGAGGCGCAAGATATAGTTTGATGTACCTATTTGTAAACTCCTTATAAAGGTTTTTTACAATACTAATTTGGCTGCAGCAATCTCAATCGTTAGTATATGAAAGACTGGTGTTGCTTTCCTTTATCAATATTAAACTTCTTATGTATAGGTTTAATTATTGTAATAAATAAATAAAAATCTAAGACCTTTTTGTTTTCAGCTGCAGTCCTGCTATATGGTAGATTTTACTTTCCAAGCTTTATTACACCAGACGTGCAGATTGCCGCAATAAAATTAATTGCAAAACGACCACGGTTTTGGGGGTATGCATTCCCCCACCAGAATTTTAAAGTCATAAAATATCTTAGAAATTAAGGTACTTTTTTTTTCTTAGAAGACGCAAATGTGGTACAAAATATAAAAATATTTCAACATCATCCCCCCTCCCACCATAAATTCCTGGATCCGTTACTGATATTGATAAACTTATTGTAAAAAAAAAAAAATTGTTCATCGCCATTTTTTAGATTATTGTGTACTTATTGGTATACGATAAACTTTTATTGTTTAAAAACAATTGAATCTTGTAACTAGTTAGGCTATCTGTTATAATGACTACGGTGATATTGAAGGTTAACTTGCATTTTGTGTACTTAACAACAAAACTATTAATTTCGAATTTCTTTTTTTAAAACGTAATTTAAAAAATAATAAACATTATGAAAACTCTTTTGTTTAAGAATAATCAGAAAACAAAAGAACTTTTTAATTACTTTCGTTAATATTTAATGATATAACGATTCAATATTAACGATATTTAATGAAAGAGATTTACTCATAAGTTACTCATATTCATACAAGTTACTCATACTCATACTCATTCTTAATATAAACTCATACTCATACTTAAGTTACTCATACTCACAGGGCCGTTCCGAAAAGGTCTTCCATGAGGGGTGTTGTAGGTGAGAGGTGTTGTATGTATTTTGTATGTATGAGAGGGGTGTTTGTATGTATGAGAAGGTTGTTGTATGTATTTTTTGCCAACTACAAAGCACCAAAAAAAAAAAAAAAGTCCTCAATATTTGCCAACTATAGTTCAAAACGTGCTGAATGTGCTAACTCAAACGCTTACATGACAGCCTAGGGGAATAGGACACCCCAACACCCCCTCCTTACG